AAGAAGCTGATTAAAAGACTTTTATACATTTATGTCTGACTGTATAATTTAATTTCTACTTACATTTATTTGTTTATTGTATTTTTGGTGGCAATTAATTGTATGCTTATTTATTTATTGAGCATTTATTTATTTATGTATTTATTTTTAAATATGGCAGTGTTGGTCCTCCATACTGACCCCCCTGCACAGCGCAAACGCTAAAGATGTGATTCACCAAGTTTTACCTACACCCTATGAAATGTTCCTAGCTAAAAGCATAGTAAGAGGTGTGAATAATCAAGACCCCAAGACAAAGTTAATTAAGCTACTGACATGGAGAAAAGCAATAACCACTATTGATTAACAGATAAAGAAAGTAACAATGCAGCGCAATTTATTGAAAGAACCAGTTGGGTAAATGTCTTAAAGCTGAAATGTTTTCAAAACTATTTTATCACTGTCTGCTTTATGAAACTTATTTTTTCTACAGAAGAAACTTCTTTAACTTCATAAACTGCTTTTAATACTACTTTCATAAAAGAAACAATCAATAAATATATATTGAGAAGGATTAAGAAGTGTTGAAAATTTTGTTGTGTTTATACTTTGTATTTATCATTGAAACAATAAATGCCTAAATCATAAAATTGTTCTTACAGTTTCTTTTTAAACTGTGGGGAAAATATATATTCCACTTGAATAAAGAGAAGGAAATCACTAAATACACTATAGCCACTATAATATTCTTAATTTTATAATCAACTTTATAGATGTACGTTTTCTAAAACAGGCCGTAAATCTTTCTCAAGATACACTGACTAATACCGGTATGTTTCAAAAATTGATAAAAAATTATGAAGATACATGTGAGAGTCAATTTATAATTGGGGAACTTGATGTTATTGTTAATCTCAGGTTAAGATGTGGTCCAAAATTTTTTTACCGTTACTTCTTGGGGAATATCAGAGAATAAGTCAACCAGGCTTTTGTTGAAGTCTTTGGGATTTTTAAACTTGCACCTACAATGAGACAGGCATAATTCCTGATACCGGTACTTTAACATGTTTATTGCCCTCCCAGGTAGGGGTGAGAATTTTCTAATCTAATCAGATATGATTTCGGCTGTTATATATTGTTTATGAACACACGCCCTATTAGCTGTGTGTTAGAACAAATAAATTAAAATCATGGTCAAACAGTAAATTCTGCACATACAAGTGTTAGGGTTCCAGTTTGTGTGGGTTGTTTTTTGTGTTTTCCTCTCTCCACCACCAGGCGGTGCCCTGTCCTCCTTGGGCCTCCCTGCACACCTGCGGCTCGTTGGGTCATTACCAGAGGACTACTTGAGCAGCGGGCTGTCACCACCTCGACGCCAGAGTGTTTGCTAGTATTGGGTACCTTAGCCATACTGAGATTAGCTGAGTCTAACCTTTGCCTTGTCTCCCTGAGTCTAAGCTTTGTCTTTGCCTTTGTTTTCCGGTAGGATGCCCTCCTGATTCACTGGATAAGCCTGGTCCTTCTACCCCCCTTGGAAGGAGTAATTATAGTCACACTGAGCAAGGGGAAACCTTCACCAGATCTGTTCAAGCCCACTTCTGAAAAACCCGGTGACAGTCCATTCCGTCGCTCCTCTGGACCCAACGCTAGTCTGCCTGTCCGCCCTCCAATGAATTCATTAATCTCTGAATTAAACCCCCATAAACTGGACCCAAGGGAAACCAAGAATCCCCCTAACATGAGGATTCTACAGCAATTCACCAGTCTTTCACTCTCATTTTCCCTACAGGCCTTGAACTCATCTTTGTGATCTCCCCTTCAGAGTTTCCAGTTCCGGTTCACCATACCGCTGAAGTCCCACTGAGATAACCATGCATATAATCTCTCAAATATATTTGTAATGCTTGTCCCCTTTCTGGATTTTCATGAACCTTTAATATATTTAAACTATATTTCATTTTATTTTTCTCATTGCTCATTGTTCCACTCAGTCATCCAATCAAAAGCTGCGTTCAAACGGGGGCTTTAAACTGACCAATAGCAAGCGCCGGAAAACCGCCGTTGCTCTCCTTATTACGGATATCTTTTTGTAGCAGGAAGTAAAGATTTCTCAAACAAATCATGATTTTTTCTCACGGACAGGTACAGCTACTTTATATTTTCCTCTTTTAACTCCATTCACATAATTAGTAACCTAATAAGAGTAATAATTGTCTCATAACATATTTATGACAAAGTCAGTCGAGCTACGTTACACGTTCATTAGCCTATGGTTAGGTAAGGGTGGTTCCAGCCAGTTTACCTCATTCTGTATGTTTTATGGTTTAGCATTTCTTATTGTCTGTAATATGTAATAATATTGTCTAGCAATGGTTACATTTCTTAATGGCTTGAGTTCAACTGAATGGAATTTCTTCTGTAAAACATTCTTTTTGAGAACGTTAAAAGGTTGGATAAAGGAAAGTATCCCAATTACCGTTTAACCGGATAGAAATTAGATTTTCACTTTGCTTTTTCTGCTTAATTTATCTGGTTAGTTTTTATTGTTCATGTTTTTTTATCTAATGGCTCCATGTTTTTATTTGTTATAATGTATTTGTATCCATGTTTTGTTTTTCATTTTTGTAATTTTTTTTATTATTTTTCCTTGCCCCGTGGTTTCATGTAATTGGTGGTCACTGACTAAATATTTCCGATGTTTCCTCTTTTTTTGAAAACTGATGATTGAACTGATTAATTTTTATCCTTTACATTTCATCAATTTATTTATATATATATATATATTAAAGAGATCAATTTTCATTTATTTTTG